AAACTCCTTATATTAATCCTACACATATCTTATTTAGTGTGAGAGTTGTTCTATTAGGAGAACCTTCTTATTCTACCGAATTTTTTTCAACCTAATTATGTTAGATCTCACACCACCCAAATGAGGTCAAAATATTAAATATAATATGAGAAATGCTAAGGGGACTTTCTCAAAAGTGGGACTCTTCATAGACTCTCTATCGCCTTATAGTTTAACGTCAATTTCCGTACCAACCTTATAAATATTAAATTAAAAAAAATAAGGTGACAGAATTCATAAGTCTCATTTTTAAGAAAGTTATTTGCATTCATCGCATATTTTTATTACAAAACACATCATTATGTTAGATCTCACACCACCCAAATGAGGTCAAAATATTAAATATAATATGAGAAATGCTAAGGGGACTCTCAAAAGTGACTCTCAAAAGTGAGACTCTTAATAGACTCTCTATCGCCTTATAGTTTAACATCAATTTCCGTACCAACTTTATAAATATTGTGTTAAAAACATAAGGTGACAGAATCCATAAGTCTCACTTTTAAGAAAGTTATTTGCATTCATCGCATATTTTTATTACAAAACACATCATTTAATTTACAATTTGATCTAAAAATTTAGTTTTTGATCATACTTTTTTGAGTAATTAAACAAGGAAACGAATACAATTACAACTTATAGAAATGGTCATTTCTGTCGGCGGATGAGATAAGCAATTGACTTCCTCACACACTTCCACACACAAATATAATATTACCAAATTCAAAAGTTCCACCAAAAGACGCGGTTCGGACTTTCAACGTTCATGCACTCGGTCACAACCAGAGGAGAGAGAGAGAGAGAGAGCGAGCAGAGGAGAGAGACGGCACCCATCAATCCCAGCTGTGAGCCTCTGACGTTGAATTATATACACAATGATATTATAACATGCAAGAACCCAATAATATACCGTGTTTCGGATCAAATATAATATAAAAAAATCGATATAGATCCACCAAAAACTCAACAAACAGATCTTTCCAAGCAATATCCAGATCACAAAGAACGCAGAAGCAACTCTTTTGGGGTCTCAAAAGCTGGAAACTTTGCGGTTCCGATCGTTGTTTTGGAGTTAAATTTGTTGTGTTCTTCTGTTCTGTTAAGTTTCTTAAGTTTTGGAAGTGCTTTTGGCAGCGGGGATTTTTGGATAAGTTTCTGAAAATGGAAGGTTCGGGGAGTACGAGGGTGGAGAAGAGAGGGTATGAATTGGATGCCGATGCAGATGGTCATCCCCCCGAGCCGAAGAAGCAGAGATTGCCCACTTTGGCAAGGTTTTTATTCTTTCTTTCCTTTTTTTTTTTACTTGATTTTATGCTTTATTATTTTTTATTTTGTTAATAGGTGCTAATTTGATTGTTTAAAGGGTTTAATCTTCTGGATTAGTGTTGGTTTTTGGGTTAATCGATTAATCCTATTGAACTTAGCGAATTTGTAAGTGAAAGGTCCGAGGTTCATGACGAGTTTGATGTGACTTGGCTCAAATCTCCGACTCCCAATGTCATTGTATCAAAATACTCGGAAAGTAATATAAAGATCGTAAACTGTTGACGAATGCAGTCAAATGTAATAAGCGATGAATGTAGTTTTGTGCCATTGAAACTGCAGTCATATGTAATAAGTCGATGAATGTAGTTTTGTGCTATTGAAACTGATACGCTGTTCACCTGACTAGCTATCGGTCTAGCGGTATTTCTCTAAAGAAACAAGTTCAAACTAGTGCTAAGTTTAACTTCGAACTTCGAACTTTCGTGTTAAGTTTAACTTCACAACATCAAGAATTTGATTAAAAGTTGTAAATTCATGTCCTCGTATTGAATTATCTAGTGATTTTTGTGTTCCTGTGGCTGAAAGTTTCCTGGTATTTCATCCAAATTGTAGTTAAGTATGTTAGTGCGATCGAGTCTATAAGTTTAATCTTATCGTTGAATGATCGGTATGCAAGTATTCGATATTCTTTTTTCGAAATGTTATTGTTTATACAGTTGAATGCTATATGCAGTGTAATTGTGGAATCTTTGAAGGTTGATAGCTTGCAAAGACTTTGCTCATCTTTGGAGCCTCTTCTCCGCCGAATTGTGAGTCGGATTGTTACTCTTTGCATCTTAGAATTTGAGTCAAATGTTGAAACTAACTGCACTTTTTTCGCTTTTCCAACCTGTGCTGCTGCTGCATAGTATTTCCCGGGCTGCATTTTGCTCGAAACATGTATTGTTTGCAGCAAGATCTCGCCCTTTTGATCATTCTGAACTTTCTTTGAGTAACAGGTTAGTGAAGAAGTGGAGCGTGCTTTGACAAAGTTAGACCATGCTGAACTGGCTGGAAGGTTTGTTCCAACCATAGTATTTAGATGTTTCCGACTCTCCTTGTTCCCTTTGAGTCCTAAACTATGCTTTCTTCTTCGTATTTTCATCAGTTATCGTGTGTTTGTCTTTATTTTCTTCGAACTGTGTATTTGGTTGAGGTTGGGGTGGGAAGCCCGTATCAGTGAATTTATTGTTTGCATTTTCGGAAATACTGCAGGTCTCCACCACCGAGAATACAGGGTCCAGAAGGAAAAACCCTGCAACTACAATTTAAAACAAGAATGCCACCTCACCTATTCACAGGTGCAAAGGTTGAAGGAGAGCAAGGAGCAGCAATTCATGTTGTCTTGGTAGACATCAGCACTGGCAGTGTTATGCAAACAGGACCCGAATCTGCTGCAAAACTGAATGTTGTGGTGCTGGAAGGCGACTTCAATGAGGAAGCTGAGGATAATTGGACGAAAGAGCACTTTGAAAACCATGAAGTGAAGGAACGGGAGGGGAAAAGGCCTCTTCTGACAGGAGATCTACAGGTTGTTCTCAAGGAAGGGGTAGGTACTCTCGGAGATCTTACCTTCACCGACAATTCTAGCTGGACGAGGAGCAGGAAGTTCAGGCTCGGTGTTAAGATTTCGCCTGGATATTGTGAGGGAATTCGTGTTTGTGAGGGTAAAACGGATGCCTTTTGTGTTAAAGATCACAGGGGAGAATGTGAGTTGTCTTAAGCTTGCTATTTCACCGTTTACTTTATGTGCATCACATTGTAGGCTTTAGGAAAATTTTGGTATAAAAGGGTCACTTCACCCTCGATTTCCCTTTTCAACAAGATACCTGCAAAGCTTATCTAAATCAAGTTTCTGTTTCTGTAACTTGAAGTGTACAAGAAACACTACCCACCGGCTTTGCACGACGAAGTTTGGAGATTGGATAGAATAGCAAAGGATGGAGCTCTGCACAAAAAACTGATAAAGGCTGAGATCATAACCGTTGAAGACTTCCTTCGCCTTCTTGTCAAGGACCCACAGAAACTAAGAAGTGTAAGTATCCCTTGTATTTGTTTCTGAACACCATTTCCTCTTTCTTTTTCGGCGTATTCTTATTTCTGAATTTCCGAATATAGATGCTTGGGAGTGGGATGTCCAACAGGATGTGGGAAAACACAGTGGAGCATGCCAAAACTTGTGTCTTGGGTGGAAAGCTGTACGTTTACTACACTGATCAGGCTCATGGCACGGGTGTTGTTTTCAATCACATTTACGAGCTCAGGGGACTTATCGCTGATGGGCAGTTTCTTCCCTTGGAGTCACTCACCCACACTCAAAAGGTCGGATGATTTTTATTGTTTAGAAACATTACAATAATTTTGCCTCTCTTTCAACTCGGCTTACTCACTTGGAGCCCTATATGCAGGTTTCAGTGGATTCTCTGGTTAAGAGAGCGTACGATAATTGGCATCAAGTCATAGAATATGATGGCAAAGTCTTACATGCTCTCGCCGGAGATAAAAAGGTCACGAGAGCCTCACCTGCACCCGTGGCTGACTACAACAACTATGCCATAATGGATCACCATTCTGCATCTACTCAGAATAGCCAGCAGCAGTGCCCCCCTCAATTCAGCCAACAGTTCCAACCAGAAAATAACCCCCCATCCGTCTCTCAGTTCATTGAATTTCCATTTGTGAGGTCCAACCAACCAGCGATGATTAAATTTAATAACCCGGAACCAGCAGCATTACCTACCAGCATGGGTTACATGCCATCTGTTGGCGGTTCACAAGTTTCAGGAGATTGGACACGGCCAAACTACGGGAATGGATTGGATGATTTTGTTGCTGATGAAATCCGGATCAGGAGTTCAGAGATGTTGGAGAGTGATGACATGCAAAGACTGCTCAAGACGTTTAGTATGGGAGCCGGCGTAGGAGCAGGAGGAGTTGGTTTTGGTGCTTCTGATGAGTCTTGTTACAATTACAGTGTACAATACGAGCCTCAGATAAGCCAGCCATTCAGGAAGGAGCACGCGAAGAGAGCCTCAGGGAAGGCTGTTGTGGGGTGGCTTAAGCTCAAAGCGGCGTTAAGGTGGGGGATTTTTATTAGGAAGAGAGCTGCAGAAAGGAGAGCTCAGCTTACAGAGCTAGACTAAATCAAATGCTATGGTGATTGTTTAATTCCGTTTGCTTTGCAGAGACGACACCACGAAAAAGAGAACGAAAATTAGGAATTTAGTCATATATTGAAACATTTCAGCGTTCTTTTATCCTTGTGTATCCAGAATTTGTTTGATGCTGTATGAGGCATGAAACACCCGGCATATATCATAATTTTCGTGACAGCGTTTTGTGGAGAAAACTTGGATGTAACCAGGAATATATGTCATCACCGTATTTGACATCACGTGACATGTAAAATAGGACGACAATGTATATTCCCGGTTACAAAAAAGTCCTGCGTTACGTGATCAGGTTGGACCAGCCTGCGAGGAGGCAGTCATACTGTTCCAGCCTGCTACTGCAAGTACTTGACGACTGACTGAATGAATGGATTAAAATGACTTGTAGCTCAATTGATTAAGAATTTTTCGCTCACGAGTTCTTAGAACTCCTTTCCCCAGTATCGCTCGTATAAAAAATTAGTTTTGTTGGGCCAAGAAGGTAAATCAAAGCATAGCAACCCATGTAATTTCTCTTCTAAAATTGCTGATAGTCAAAGCTCAGTTCTATAAATATTGTACATGAAATCCAGATACAAGGGAAAGCAAACCAACTTCTTGAATTTTAGATGCAAGTTCATTTCCTATCTCGAAAAATCGTCATTTGATTCTGAACTTGATCTGGATCAAACACTCTACATATGACTCCTAATTCGATCCCTTCGCCTACCAAGAAAACTACCGAGCTGAATGCATAGCTAACCTTGTCTGCCAAACACTGGGTAGTCAGTCCATCATGTAAGCAATCACAGCTGCTCGCGGAGACGGGGGGCTCACAGTGCAGTGGAACTATCTGTTTCCATTTTCTACTTCTCAAATCATGTACTATAAAAACCAGCTACTTCTTTCTAAATCTCAAGCACTTGTTGTGTTTTACTTCTGTGATGCTTCCGTCAGAAGTGAGTTGTTTCTTCTCCTGTTGTGGTTTTGCGAGCGCGAGTTTCTCCATTGCGTTTATGAACTTGCGTAAGTGCTTAATGTAGTCGGGAAATGTTTCGAGGTTACAGTGGCCTCCACCCTTCACCCATAATGGATCATATTTTTCCTTGGATAGTTCCCACAAACGCTTTCCGTGGGACAAGTCAACAATTTCATCCTCCGTTCCCTGCAAATAGTAGCGTATCAATGAATCAAATTATGAGAACAATCGGACTGAATCAAACCAGAAGTGTCACAAATGCTCAATTACATATTACAAAATTCAGAATACTGCTGTAATTTCTAAAGTTATAGCATTTTTGTCGGAAGTTCAACCCAATAGAGGTGTCTAAGAGTAATTCTTCCTTTCATCAGTTGCTTCTTGACGTTGATATGAAATCCTCACTCTCTTCTGATAATATGATTACCATTTTTTCACTTCTTATGACAACATCTCTCTCAATTTAGCTGATAACAAACGAGATTTTTAACGTTGAGCTGTAGTTTGATGTTCTTCATTCTTAAGTTACGACTTTTTGATGGTTTTCATCAGACAAGATATACTAGGCAAGGGCGGGAAGATTAACGACATAAGAACCACAGCACAAACTCTTTGAATTCTAAAGAATGACACTCAAACAACATAGTTTTAAATGAATGAACGAAATAGGTACTTACATGAATAACTAAAACCGGACAGCTGACATGCCGTATTTTATCTATATTCTGAAAACATTGCACAGAGCTTGTCAATACAAATTCAAGTAACCGAGCCTTGCAGCAGAATTAAGCAATTCAAAGAAGACAAGTCGAACTTACTTTGAAAATGTCGAACCAAAACGTCAACTTGACAGGATACAAGACTCGTATGCCTGAAAGGATGGCACTGTGAAGAACAACGGCTCTGAGTTTTTTCAAGTGAGAAGCCAAGTGCAGTGTTGGTCCGCTTCCAACAGATTGGCCATACACTATCAAATCCTCCTGTCTAATTTCATAGTCGCTCTTCAAACAATTGTACACGGCTTCTATGTCATAGTATGTGTTGAACTCAGATGGCTAAACAATCACCAACATTAACACATTTCAGTCGTAGATTTTAGCTATGACGGTCAATAGATCGATGTAAAAGGGATGGACGTTAAAACCTGAATTCTGCACTAACCACTATAAACGCAAACCAACTCCATCGATACTCAATACTTACCTTACCAGTGGATGCTCCATATCCCGAATAGTCATAACTGTGACAAAGAAAACCATGTTAAGTACATCCGGGAAGGCTTTCGCATCACTGAAACACGGTGAATTAGAAAAAATTGCAGCATATCATCTGCATTTTACATTCAAAGTACATTAATGAACTCTCAAGCGCTTAACAAATGGTAGCAGAGGAATTTCTATGACGAGGATCGCTCTCATCCTATGCATCCATTCCATACCAACCCCGCCAAACAGAATTAAAACAAGAAAGCTACACGATCAATCAAACAGTTTTAGCTTAAACTGTTGTTTACTGGAACAATCAAATGTTGAAATTTCAAAGAATATAAAGACCAACAACGTAAGACCAACAAAATATAAAGAAAAATTAGCATGTGTAGTGACCGCCGTTGTTTACTGGAACAATCAAATGTTGAAATTTCAAAGAATACTAGCATGAACAGATAATCTAATAAAAAAAACCAAACGAAACATATCAAACGTGGAAGCAGAGGAGCATCCATATTTGAAAAATCCAACACCAAATTCAGAAAAATTATTTCAAAAAAGGCAGAAAACAATCAATAAAACTGAAAGAAAAAAAAAAACCAATACCAAAATAAAATTAAAAAGCTGAAAAGGTGTTCCATGAACATTTCTCAAAGCACAAAAAAGGGAACAAAAAACATACCATTTGATGTTTATTAATTTAAAAAACAAAGCCAATCCATCAATCAAAATCCAGAACAAAATCCAAAACAAGCAAAAAGCAAAGCGATTTGAAGCTCTAAGAGCGTTTATTTTTTTCACCTCTAGAGGTCTTTAGTTTGAGTCCCGTATATTAATACATCTCCTATCATAAAAAAAGGGGGAGAATTTAAATGCAAGAATACCTCATAATATTGACACGCAGGTGAGCCCTGAGCTCAATGAAGAGCTCGTGCATCTGCCCCAAGTCCGCCGCATTCCCATGCGAGTATAGCAGCGTGAACCGCGCGAACGGGTGCCGCCAAAACGTCGCCACGATCTTGTTCCCGCCCTTCGTGTCCAGCAAATGCACCTCCATGCTCTTGTCCGCCGTCACGCCGGAGAACACCAGCTTCCCGCCCTCGTCCTTGGACACGTCGTACGTCGGCGGGTCCGGCGGGAAAAACGCAAACTTGGCCGCCACGCCCGCCGTAACGTTGCCCATTAACGCAAACCCAGCTGCAGACAAATCGAGTTCTACCAATCCTTGCTGTCCTTGTTCATCGTGAGAAAATTAAAACTCCAATAAATAGAAGGAAAAAAAAAAGATTAAATCTTTATTATTTGTTCTTCTTTTTCTCTGTTTTTCAGAAGAAAAGAAGGAAAAATAAAAAATAAAGATTTAATTTTTTGAGGGGGGGGGTTTTGGATTCCGTGAAATTTTTTACTGGGGATGATGGAAAGGCAGAAAAAAAACCAGGTGGGAGGTGGCGTCAGATGAAATTAAAGGCGAAAGGTGGTGGTGGCAAAAGATAGATCCGATCCAGGCGGGGGAGCTGGAAATTACGGATTGCTGTTGGAGAAGGATGCTTTTTTTGTTGTAAACAACAAGAGTAGGTTGATGATGTGCAAACTTGGTCTATTTATATCAGTTGATGTGACGGCCCCTTGTTTTTTTTTAAGAGTGTAACGTCGTGTTTGCTCTTCCTATCGATTGTTGGAATAAATTTATGAAAGGCGAATTCTTGTATTTATAGTTAAGTTGGCCTCATTTTGTAACAACGTTATAACTTTTTATTAAAGGGTGTTGCGAGTTTGACCACATGGTGCACTTTAGTGTACCGAAAGACGGGCACATAGGTCATATGTCGATGTATAAACTGAAAGACATTTTGAAAAAAAAAAACTTTTTTTCTATTTGTATAATAATATATGATGTATCAACCGGTTGAAAAACCTCTCGTGAATATGGGTGTAAATTTGTTTTAGTTTTTTACTCAAATTAAGAAAAATAAAGGGTGGTTAGATTAATAATTGAGGCACTAACTTTTGCTGGCTTTAAACTGATAAAAATGGTTGAGTTCACCACTTTCAAGATATTAAATAATTGTCATTAGCAATGGTTTAATGTTTGATAGATTTGATCACTATCAAATAGGATTAAAAGATATTCAAATGTTCTCCAATGGATATGTCAAATATGATGCGACAACCGACTCATTTGACTCTTTGCTTTCTAACTGTTTTTTTTTATTTTTTACAGCAAACAAAGAAGTCAAATATTTTTAATTTAATTTTTTAATTCATGTGTCCCATTAACAACCAATAGAATAAAAACTAAAATTAATTTTGATTATTTTTAATAGTTAATGTAACTCTGAGTCCAATAAAATAATAAAATACATATTTGACACATTTATTGGAAAAGAAGAGGATTTAACACTTGTATTCACTTTGTCACATTAGCCATCAAATATAGTTTTGACATATTATTTTTGACATCTTCTTTGGAGGTGCTCTAAGCAGATTTTGTCAACGATTTTATAATGATAGTACGAGAATTAATATTAAACTATGAAATGTCAAACTTTCTACAAAGAATCTCACTTTAAAAGAGTCTTCTTAGCATTTCTTTTATAACTTAGTGATACTTCAGTTGCAAAAGAAGATTGGTAATTACTAATTACTCATACATGACCATGAAGCTACTAATTATCGTAGGGAGTAGTGCAGTAAAACGAAGTTTAGTAATTACTAATTACTAATTATTGCAGGAAATAGTTCAATAATTCAGAAAAAAAAAGCAGTGGAAAGCAATCGGTTGAATATGAAGCTATATATAATAAAAAATATCATCTTAAACGGTCTTAAAACATGCGGCATCGCGGTCATTTTTATTAGTTAATACTTAATATCATATAACCAAAAGAGGAAGGGAGCAATAAAAAAAAAGGGCAAAAAAGTGGATGGACTAATGGACGGACGAGATTCAGTCAAAGACCATGGGAGGATCTTGGAAGAAAGGGAGAAGAGCGGCAGAGACGTCAGAGTCAGACCTCCCTCATTCTTTTGGATTTGAATCTGATCCGGATTTAAATTGTAGAATCCTAGAAATTTTTACATGTGAGTCATTCATTGCGTATTGTGTGGTTAAAAATTATTTGATTTTTATTTAAAATTAAACACAAATAGCACATAATAAAAATTAATCGTATAATATACAATGAACAATTAGAAAGTAGGAATCCCTAAGATTAAGAGATTTGCCTGCCAATGACTTTGCTCCTTGAGTCAGTGCTTTGACCAAAATTTCGTACTTACTTAACCCCCAATTTTGATAACTCCAAAAAAAAAAAAAAGATAAAATAAACAAAGGGCCCTTTTTGATAAAATTTATTGAGAAAGGTTTAGTTCTTCGAGTTTCACTTTAATTCACTTAATGGTGAATTTACATAATTTCGTGTTTATGATCGAAATTGTTCATACTATAAATCATTTTGAAATTTTTACAAAAAAATTAAAATTAAGAGTGTTTCGCCAATTAATTGTAGTAAATAAATAAATAGTTCATAATTAATTTATTATATCATTCGATGACAAAATGGTTTCATATTTAACTGATTTTTTGTAAAAATGATCTTTAGATAATTATTTATGATATAAACAATTCTGATTATAAGTATGAAATTTCATGAACCAGCTACATAAAGAAGCCAAGTTAATTCCAAACTTATTAGTTCACAGATCCAAATCATCTAGTTTTCATTAAGGAATTATGATAAAAAGCTAAACAAAGTGATGTTTGCATAATTATATAAAAAAAAAGTAGCATATGTCACATCTGTCATTTTATTATGCAAAAAAAATAGAGTGAGGATCTTTATGAGGATTTCATGAATTCTCAAATCAAATCCGTTCATGGTAAATCATACGATCATAAATCATTGTAATTTTTTTATTTAAAATTAAATATAAACGGTACTTGACAAAAACTGTTCTAATCACATCACATGCTATTCAACAAAAAAGATAAGGATGTCATCAACAATGAAATTAATTGAGTAGGCTTTAGGACTAGAGTAGGGGACCTTTGTGCTTTAAGATGGGGACCAAATCAATGAACATGAAAGCTCAATAGAATAAAGATGATGATATTCATCATGTGTTTGATGAAATATGTATGTTGTCACGCAATGGTATGGACTCCTTCGTACAAATTTGGGCTGCAATCATAACTATGGAGAGATTCTTCGTTGTCCCGGAAATACAAACACATAAGTTATATGTCAATATACAAGTAGAGGGACATTTAAAAAAATAAATTTTACTTGTATAATAACATAAGGCGTACTGCTATATACTCTAAACACATTAAAAATCTACCATGATCATAATCTCATTCAATTAAACCTCTATGATTAGTGTACTATATTAATGCACAAATCGTGTTTCTGGCACATTAAAATTTTGTTATGATTTGGAGTACCAATAGGTGACTAGATCGACATTTCATAAGTCATTAAGGAGAGGGTAGGTATTTAGATAATTTTGTGCACTAACCAAGGAAAAGAATAGAGTCAAATAGGCCATAGACTTCCTTGGAATCTGTGGGGGAAACAAAAGGAAAGAAAAAGAAGAGAGATGCTGGGGTAACTCGCACTGAGTCTATCCACCGTCACCTCATGTTTTTGTAATTTTGTGAGTATATCTGTCTTTGTCATCTCATGTTTTTGTATAATTTTTGTGTCAACATTATAATATTGTGTTCAAAATATGAGACGGAGTGTCCACGAAAAATTCTACTTTGAGGGAGTCTCCTTAACATTCTCGAAAAGAAAGGTTGACATAATTGCAAAGTGAGAAAACTTGTGAAATGCAAACGTGAATTAAGTCTATTGGCCAGTCCAGAGTAGTCGAAACCTTCTTTATACACTGAGTTTAAACATCGTCTAAAAGATCATTACTCAAGCAAATAGATTATTTGGTTAAATAAGAGTTTACTCATACAAACATGATTTGTTTTGGAAACCCTAATAGCATATACATTCAGCAGGTTAAACAACTATGTTCCTTTTGCATAGGAGTCGATATCTCATAACACAATCGTGGATACATACAATATGGCTCAAACTAACATCTAATTTCGGAGAATTCTAATCGCCACTTTTGAACAAAATGTGCTCCTCTTCCAATGTGATCCTATCGCCGGCAACTGAAACCCAACTTTCAACGATTTTATCAACTGTTCCGTCCAAGATCTCCACTAAAGTGAAGGCGCGCATGGTGCCGCAGGACTCCGGTGTTCCTTGCTCAACGTTCAGTCTTTACTCTAGGAAAAATAGCCCCGTTGAGGTATATAGTGTTGTCGGCTCCAACCACAATCATTTTCCGAAGACCATTTCCATGCGCTAGCTCTTTATGCATGTGACCAAACACCACCAGTGGAGCACAGATTGTTGCAGTCTCTTTTAAGAGGGACAGGGCTTGTGCAAGATCTGTACCGAAAAAACAAAGTGTTTATGTTAGTACATCTTAGGTTAGATCAACCTGCTTCCTTTCCACGACCAGCCTCTTAAATTCATCAGGACACAAGCAACACGCAGCAACCCAAAAGGCTGTGTAGGAGAGTGACATTGATTCAACGGGTAACACTAAGTTTAAAAGGATAACAAAAGGCCATCTCAGTGCTTCAGTGAAGAGGTTCAAATGGTTATTACCTGGGTCACCATAATCTCCACCTTCAAACACCCAATCTTTTCCACAAATGTCATCCACGTTAGACCCAAGACCTGCACAAGGAGTGAACTCAGAAATCTGCGTTCAAATGAAGTGAAGTTTGGCTCAAAATGCCTGATTATTATTTGCTTCAGCAGATTGACAAACCTGTGGGTCCATTATGTGCAAGAAATATGATCAAATGGTCCTCAGGAGCACCCGAAGTTGCTTCGCATATTCTTTTAGCACTTCCTTCCATGTCTTGGACCCCAAACCTAAGAGGCAGTTGTTTCAGCACATTCAGTCAGTATTTAAGCTACCATTGTGGAAAACACTTTCTCCGAAGAATTTGCATGATAAATGTGATTCATGCATAGTTTTATAAAAAGCGGTTGCACATTCTTGGATGCTACTTTGTATCGGGGCCAACTATTTTTTATTTTTGAATAAGAAAGCAAACAAATTGATAAAATTCTAGTTTCGTGTTTCATCAAGAGCTGCTAGAAACATTACACACCTTGCAGACAGAAGCTTTTGTCGAAAAAACTCATTTCCCCCACAAGAAAAAGGTCGCCCACCAACAACACTCAGCTTCATAGCAGGATAGTCCAAACGCCGATAACCCACATGCTCCTCACCGAGACTGAATATTACAAGTATTTTATGTAAGAATGACATCTAGAACAGCAAAGATATCATATTTCAATGGAACGTTAAGTAATAATTGGTACACCAAAACGCGACAGATATGGCAATTTCAGCATCTTTGACAATCAATAAGATAAGACAAACTCACCATTCTAGCTGAAGTTGAACGCCGTCTTTTTTCCTGATATTAGAAACTATTAAATTAACCAGATTACCTTGGATTAAGAGTCAGAATTACATCAACACACTTGATGCAAGGGCGTGTATGCATGTGCACAATTTGGGGTGTGTGTTGGGGTGTTGGGGGGGGGGGGGGGGGGGGACACAGCCAGTTGAATTACATTCTAAACTAACCACATTGATAATTACATATTGAACTGGATACTATGCAGCGTTTCTAACGAGGACTTCATTTTAATCATATGGAAATACATAAGAAAATACAAATAGAAGCAAAACAACTTACCTTCCAGAAAACTGTGTTGTATGCCAGGCATCATGGTTTCCTAAAATAATTTCTTTAGCAATATCGAGAAAAACAACTTACTTTCGAGAAAACTGTGTTGTATGCCAGGCGTCATGGTTTCCTAAAATAATTGCCTTAGTAATATCGAGATCTGCAACGCTCTTAACGAGTTCAACGTTCTCTTCACCAAAATCACCTGAACAAAATGGAGGAGAAGGAAAGGCCAAAAATACACAAAAGGAAGGTAAACTATCGATTTAAAAAAACAAATAAAACTCAACGGCCTCGTTAGTGCAGAGCCACAACATAAATTCAGATCACACATGGCTCTAAGTCTCTAAATTTTCTTGAGCTATATTCTGAGAACAAACTTATCTTAAAATTTACAGCAATTAGGGACATGCCATGAATTTATCAAACGTCCAAAGTTACTAGTTACTTAGATCAGCAGTCGGGAAGCACCGAAAAACATACGGTACATGAAATAGTCAGGGAGAATGGAACCTGCCTGTAAAAAGAACCAAATCCGGCTGCATGTCAATATAAAGTTACGAACTTTATTAGATTTCTTTGCAGGACATACACAAAAGTTGGAAGATTTAAAAAGAAAAAGCATTTGGACAAAAGGGTTTTTGATAATTAACTCAAATATTACTACATAATCCCAAATAATCAAAGATTTCCCAAATAATCAAAGATTTTAACTTGTTCTTTTAAGTTAAAAGAAGATAGAGAAGAGGGGGGAAATGTAAATACCTGCAGCAGTTGAAGTGCTTTCCTATCTTCTTCTAGATTCCACTGATCATGCTTCACAAACCCAAATAAAAAAATTTGATATTTAGAGGATAAAAGTACGAAATTTAATTTAATCAACCGGTCACGGTTTCGGAAATTCACAGAGAGGGAGAGAGAGGGACTTACGACATCGCCGACAACGGCTATACGAGCTGAGCTCCGAGCTATGGAGGAAGCCATGGAAGAGCGCGCGGTGATGTGGTCGGAGCGAGGGTAGGGGGAGGCGAACGGGAGATGAAACACGGGGTGGGTGACCTACTCTGTTGTCACTCTATCTCGCTCGCGCGCGCTGCTCTACTGGTTGGTGAAGAGTCAGCAGGATTCTCGGGGGAGATATTTCAGGGCGTATAAGAGAAGTTTAACGAAAAGCTAATGTACTGTTTATTTCGACGAAAAATCACATTTTTACCTCAATCTTGGTACTATTTATTTTATCATTTATTTTGTCTTTATCATTAAAACTCAAAGTTTTCAAACCCTTTTCATTAATTTTTCTTATATAGGAAAAATGATGTGACATGTATGTTAAAAAATTAATAATTTAAAAAATAAATTTTTTCATCATTTACATAAAACACATGGTGTATCGCTGTGTTTTCATCATAATAAAAAATTTCTCTCTCCGGATCTTTTTAGTGAGAATGTTGACGATCTACGAATTAAATTTGTTTATCATACATCGTACGATCATTTTTTATTTAGTATTATTTGTGTTTAATTTTAAATAAATATATTTAAAATATTTTTTTATCGCACGCATCAGGTGTGGCTTTTCCCACCGTTGGATTTAATTGTGGGTCCTACCGATTTGGAGCATGTATTGCCCGTCCTCCCATTGAAAAAAATTTCTAGTGTGTCGGTATCATGATCAGATAACGTTATCAGAACAATACCGAAACCAAGTCCACTTTCATTCGACGAGCCATCAATGATCCTCAAAATGTCATAATCCAAAATTAATTGAAATTTTTTAGTTAATTATATTATTACATTTGGTGTATCGAATAATCTGACATATCCTCCTCTTGTTATAGTGCCTCTGTTTTTTACTCAGATTTTCTTCAAATTTGACCTTTGATCTTACAAGTTTGATTTTTATATTCAAAACCGACAAGGTTGATTACTTATGATGTTTTGGTTTAATAATTTATTGTTGTATATAAATATTTTTCCACTCAATGACGCAGTATTGAACCAAAACGCAAAAATATCGATAAATTTGTTTCATGTGAATTTCTCTCCAATTTGAGACGATAAATCTAAGCTCTAAATGAAAATTGTACATCTTTTTATTTTTCACATTTGGTTGGTTTCTTAATCACCATCAATTTTATCAATATAATACATTCAAGAATAATCTATTATGTCAATTAAAAAGTTCTAAGAATATTGAAAATGAAGGTTTATCAATTCGATAATGCTAAGGAGACCATATTTTCACATCTAAAATCTCTCGCTAATAAAAGTAAAGTCCATAAAACAAGTAGGTTTTACCTCTATTCGAGAGATGATTTAGATGTGGTTTATAAAACAAGTAGGTAAAGTCCTAAAATATTAATGTGTTATAATATTAAAGTCTAATAGTAAGTATAAGGATAAGCACTCTACCACTAGGATTATAAAGTCTTATACTAAATAGGACCATGTATTCAGTTTCTGGACCTCCCTAACGAGAAGGGATGCCACTTGCTCATCTAAAGTCCAACTTAGCTATGCTAGTTTTGCAACTTCTGAAATAGCCGACTTTCGTTCATTCCCCTTGTGTTTACACAGCTTTCAAATAATTCATGAATCAAGGAAATCAAGATTAGGAGAGGGAATAAATAGTTGTGAGATCAACTAGCCTCTTCTCCCAATACATCTTATCTCGAATTTTCGAGTATTGGGTTACAGATTCTTATATGAAACCAACTTTTTTACTCCACATGGATTTGTAAACGCATGAATCATGTGAAGAGAAATAATTTTAGTACTCATGTGTTAGTAATACAAAGAAAATACAGAACTTACATGCCATAAATTAGATAACAAGATGTCAACTATCTAAAGATATCTATCCATAAATTAGATAACAAGATGCCAACTATCTAAAGATATCTATCCGTAGACATTAATTTTGATATGGTCCACTATATGCCAATAGACCGCGCACAGCACAAGTGTCTCTAAGAGTCTATGCAAAGTCCCAATCCTAACACAATATCTTAAACGCAAATTCGGTCGTCATATCTACATGCAGGAAAAAGTCATTGGATCAAAACGCTATAAATATATAGACATACGAGACGAACAAGCAAGCAAGAACTAATAACTTGCTGCAATGTCTTCCAAGCTAACACTTCCGTTTATCTTTTCCGCTCTCATCTTCCTCATCCACCTCAACTTCTCATCCGGCCAAACCGTCGTTAAAGCCGCTTACTGGTTTCCCGACAGTGGCTTCCCGGCCGCCAGCATAAACTCCAGCCTTTTCACTCATCTCTTTTGTGCATTTGCCGATCTCAATGCCACCACCTACCAAGTCACAGTTTCGTCCTCCAACTCCGCCCCGTTCTCAAGCTTTACACAAACAGTCCAGCAAAAAAACCCTTCTGTAAAAACCCTGTTGTCCATCGGTGGCGGAAATTCCAACCCCGCCACCTTTGCCGCAATGGCTAGCCAGGCTACCCGGCGTAAAGCGTTCATTAACTCCTCCATCACGTTAGCGCGGAGTTACAACTTCCATGGCCTTGACCTTGACTGGGAATACCCATCCTCCACCACGGAGATGACTAACTTCGGTACCCTTCTCACGGAGTGGCGAACTGCCGTGGCAAATGAGTCAAAAACCACGGGCAAGACCGCTTTACTTTTAGCCGCTGCTGTTTTCCGCTCTGCGGATTACTACAGCATAAACTACCCCTTCCAGTCCATATCAAACAGTTTGGACTGGATCAACGTAATGGCTTACGACTTCTACGGCCCCGGTTGGTTCCCAAACAACACTGCGCCACCCGCGGCGTTGTCTGCGAGTTCCGTTAACGGGGATGCCGGAATCACGTCGTGGATTAAGGCAGGATTGGCTCCCAAAAAGATAGTGCTAGGTCTTCCATTTTACGGATATGCGTGGCGTTTGTTGGACGCGAATAACCACGGCATTTTTGCCCCTGCTAATGGATCCGGTATAGGAACGTATGGTGACCAAGGTTACAGCCAAATAAAGGATTTCATAAGCCAAAACGCAGCTCAGACGGTGTACAACGCCACCGTTGTTACGAACTATTGCTACTCCGGGAAGACGTGGATTGGTTACGACGATACGCAGAGTATCTCCGCCAAGGTTTCGTATGCCAAGACGACGAAAGGACTTCTTGGCTACTTTGCATGGCATGTCGGCGCTGACAGCAGTAATTGGGCTCTTTCTCAAGCAGGTATTTTGTTGAATCATGTTGCAAAAATTTTACATTATATTGGATATTGAACGATTTCATTGCTAGTTGCATCCATCGAAACTTTTATCTAAAATGATACACTAATTGGATCATACAAGTGATTAAATTTGAGAAAATTTTGACGTTTATTAGTAGTGGACCGTTAAGACTGTTTCTCTGATAATAACCCATATTTTTTGGATTAATTTCTATTGCATATATGAAATATTAGTTCTTCCAAATTAAAGAATACAATATGTAGTTGTTTTGTTTTGTTTAGGATTCAATTACTGTTGATTATTCAACTCTATAATTTCATTTTTCACGCAGCTGCAAGTACATGGGGATGAACATAAAGATTACAGCTTAAAGTTGGTAAATTATCCAAAACAAGCCCACAATATGTAGTATAGTAGTTAACTACTTCCAATAAGGCCAAGAGCATCTCCAATAAAAATATCAAATGTTAATTTGCTGCCAGATAATAATATTTTCAATTTTTGTTTAATATTCAATTATTGATATGTAGCCTTCCTATTTCAAAAATGTATGCTACTAGCATATATCGTTTTACTGCAATGACAGAAAACAGTTATGCTTATGCACCATGAGTGAAAGTTTAATTCCCACCGATTCTTCTCCCCCTAACAACTAACTATTTAACTCACTAATACTGTCATTCTACTAAAAATATATATGCCACTAAAACGTTTGAAGCAATCTTCATAATATTCAGACATGTCTAAAAGGGCATTGAGGCAAATATACGAGGTCAATTGGTAAACTTATCAACTATAGACAGATGGTCGTGGGGCGAATATATTAATGAGCGGTAATTTTCACACATTTTTTTTATCTCCTACACACATGTTCAATTTTTTAATATTTGTTTGCTAAAGGAAAATAAAGCACGAGGGCCTTAGCTAATGCGGTCTTCAGGACGCTGGGTCAAAGAAACTTTCTTTGTCGACACTCCTCATTTTGCTTGACTAACTCTGTTGCGCACCGAATGCTAACGATAAGGTCAGCAGAACTGTATTTGTTAGGCAGACGTAGACCAAAAACTTTGAAAATTCCGGCATCTGGCAACCGAACGCAACTAAAGTAATTTGGTTTGTCCAAACGCCATCCACGATCACATCTCAAATTTTTGTTCAAACTCGAAATTTTCGCGTTATTGCAACCGCAAATGTTACGTACGTAATCAATCAAAGAAAAAACAAAGACAAAGAAATTATTCTCATTTCAAGGCTAAAAAATTATTGAATTTAAGACTCGATAATATCTCAAATTTGTAGCTTGATTAACCGCCCTATAAGTTATAGGGCTGTTAATCTATGGAGTCGGGGAAAGTTTCCCTTAGAAATCGCTTTCATGGCAGACAAACTTTCCTCGATAATTTGATTTTTCTTTCTTTTATACATTTTACATAGGGATGTGATATTCACACACCTCATTTTACTTCTCACACACCTTTTTAATTTTCGACCGTCGGATCGGATGATTTGAAGAAGATCAACGGATATATCATATAAATTATCAAATGGTGTGTGAGAAGTAAAATGAGGTGTGTGGATAACACATCCTTTTACAAAATGTTAGGTGGCAAAACATTTCAATGCAACGTGTTTAACTTAAATTGTTAATTCTTGTGATAGTAGGGTTGTCCACATATTTTCTGCAACGTCGTCGACGCATACGAAGGTCTTCATATTTACTATATGCAGCGGACGGGCTGCTCAATTTAAGGCAAAGGTACAAGCTTTCAGCCACCTTACGTATACGACACTCCGTAGATTATGTAGGAGAAAAACTTGTGTAAGGATAATTAAACCACGTATACTTTTTTACTGCTCACAACCTAATAAATTTTGGTGATCTTATATATCCAAAGGTGACGTTCTATGCTAATAATATAAATTTGTGCTCATACAATTTGCTCGCTCTTCCTTTAAAAAAGAACGAGACTTGGCTGCTGAAGATTCAGCAGCACCTCCTGCTGCCAACCAATAACGGCTGGACACATGTCCAAATTGTGAATTTTTTAATCCAACTTGAACACGTGTCCAGCCGTGATTGGTTGGCAGCAAAAAGTGCTGCTGAATCTTTCAGCAGCCAAGTCTTTTCCTTTAAAAAGCTGCCCTACTCGATATTTTCTCGTTACGAATGTCTCAGGTAATTAAGCGTCTGTCCCACCAGCCAAAGAATTTTATTGAAGCTGTCCCTGAATCCTAAACGGTATGTGTCCACGTACTCTAGAACAATCGCCAACAGTACGTGCATTGTTGCAAGCATTGAATTAATTAGAAACGTAAACGTCACTTGAGGTGTTTTGACATTTCCATGGAATCCAGAAATATCTCCTATCTGATCCCTTTCAGAAACATATGATATGAGGTTATGTATGAGAACTGAATTAGCTATTTCCATGGAATTCAGAAGTATCTCCTATCTGATTATCCCCTTCATCTTCCTTGTTTCTTGTTCCTCTGCACAAACTTGGATAAGAGCCGGTTACTGGTACGCCGGCAGCGAGTCTCCTATACCGGAGATAAATTCTGCCTTGTTCACTCATCTTATCTGTGGTTTTGCTGATGTGAATTCCTCCACCTACCAGCTCTCCATCCCTTCTGCTCATGTCCAATACTTTTCGAGCTTCACAGATATTGTCAAGCGAAAGAACCCGTCCACCATCACACTCCTATCCATCTGGAATGGACTGGCTGAAAGAAGACGAGCGAAGTTGGGCGGCGAGAACGCTAACTTTTCAGTCATGTCCTCAATGCTCGAAAAGCCTTCTAATAGAAAGTCTTTCATTGAGTCTTCCATCAAAATGGCAAGGCGTTATGGATTTCAGGGTATAGACTTAAACTGGCTGTGGCCTAACGAAGCCTCCGATATGATCAACATTGGTAAGCTGTTGGACGAGTGGCGAGCTGCTGTGACTTATGAGTCGAGAAACTCAAGTCAGTCACGGTTAATGTTGATAATGGCCGTTCGTTACTTGCCTGCTTTTGAATCGTTGATTTATCCAATCGAATCTATGAAGAGGAATTTGGACTGGGCGCATGTTGTGGCGTATGACTATCATCTGTCTTCGAAGGAGAATGTTACCGGTGCTCATGCTGCTTTATACGACCCTTTAAGCCATGTTAACACCGATTATGGCATAAGGCAATGGTTTAACTACTCGTTTCCTGCTAGCAAACTCGTTTTGGGTTTGGCTTACCACGGCTATGCATGGACACTTGCGAACCCCGAAGACAATAATGGCATCGGGGCACCTGCATCTGGCATTGCTGTGACACAAGATGGATCCGTGAACTATAAGTACATCAAGTGGTACACACGAAGCTACCGAGCTCCCATAGTGTATAATGCTACTTACGTCGTTAATTACTGTGTCATAGGATCGAGTTGGGTTGGTTTCGATGATGTGGAAGCTATCAGAGCTAAGATTGCATATGCCAAGGAGAAGAAGTTACTCGGTACCAATGTGTTTCAAGTCAACAATGACGATGAAAATTGGGCACTTTCTCGGGCAGGTACACAATACTTATCCCACGATACAGGTTAATTATCGATGCTATGTTTTGACAGAAGTCTATTTTCAGACATCAAATTGTTATCTAATGACTAACATAGATCCAACTGTTTTAATGATTCACAGCTCAAGAGGAAGGAAATGGTCATGAAAACAAGCGGCGATTATTGCTTATAATCTTGCTTCCAATTACTTCGATCGTAATTCTTATAGCCATTGTGGTGTGCTACTTGCAGAGAGAACCATTGAAGACAAGAGGTTGTTTTCCTCAATATTGAGGGTTTGTTTAGCAACTAGATGATGTATTCACTTTTTCTTTTCCCTTCCGGTTTCAGGGACAATGATTCTAGGCAATTCAAGAGCATCAGATCCTCCAAATCTGCAAGCATTCAGCTTTTCCAAGATCAAAGCAGCAACAAATAAATTTTCAAGCGAAAACAAGCTTGGAGAGGGTGGGTTTGGTCCCGTTTACAAGGTAACATTTTGTATATTATCTACATATGTTGTACGAACCCTGAAAGGGAGTGTTGCAATTTTTGGAATTCATCTTTGTATCGGGTAAGATCTCGATTTTCATCAACCACGTTAACTCTATTTTCTTTTAAATTTCTAGGGTAAACTGCAGACAGGACAAGAAATAGCGGTGAAAAGACTTTCAAAAACATCAACTCAAGGACTTGAGGAATTTGGAAATGAGGTTACACTTACTGCAACACTACAACACGTGAATCTAGCTCGGGTTCTTGGATTCTGCAGTGAGAAGGAAGAAAAAATGCTGATCTACGAGTACATGCCAAACAAAAGCTTGGACTTCTACCTTTTCGGTCTGCAATTTTTCATGCTTTCTGCTATAAAAGAGAATGCATGCTAGAATAACACAAACTCTGCAATTTTTAAAGTTGTGAGATCTGTGATTGTAATTTTTGTTTCTCTTGCTCCTTTGCGTACCTCATCGGTCCTGAATTTGTTATCTCGCAGATCCTACCAGACAGTATCTCCTAGACTGGAGAAAGCGTGTGCACATTATCGAAGGCGTTACTCAAGGACTCCTATATCTTCAAGAATACTCAAACTTCACAATCATTCACCGAGATCTAAAGGCTAGCAATATTTTGCTTGACAATGAGATGAATGCTAAAATTTCAGATTTTGGAATGGCCAAACTTTTCGGAAAAGATGAACTTGAAGGAAACACAAGCCGGATTGTTGGAACATAGTAAGTAAACTGCCTCTCATCAGCTATTCTTATTCACGCATGATCATATCCTTTAGTACTTATTGAATGCAATGCAGCGGCTATGTTCCTCCTGAATACGTAAAAAAGGGCATATACTCTATGAAGTACGATGTCTACAGCTTTGGAGTTCTACTTTTGCAAATGATTAGCGGACGGAAGAGTACATGTTACTATGGTCCGAACGAAAGTCAGCACCTCTTGGAATATGTAAGCTCCATGGCTTTCTTTGACTACTGTAAATAACTACAATTTTGTCCTGAACTTCAGCATTAAAATTACTTCAGGCATACACATCGTGGAAAGAGGATAAAGGACCGGAATTTATTGATCCATCACTTGACGATTCTTCTACTTCTTTTAAACTGTTGAGGTGCTTGCAAGTAGCTCTACTATGTGTCCAGGAAAATCCCGACGATAGGCCTACAATGTTGGAAGTCTATTCCATGCTCAAAACTGACACTCAAGCCGTTCCTATTCCTACAAAGACAGCTTTCTCTGGAAAAAGTGATAGAGATAAGGAAAGCGTATCTACATCACAGAAAGGAAGCTGTTCAGTCAATGACGCTCAGATTTCCGAACTGCAACCTCGATAAAAATGCAGGCTCGAATGAGAGGTGGTGTATTCTTAGGCTCAAGAATGTGGTGTATTCTTAGCTAATTTCTGGACAAGTTTCTAGCAAATATTTTTTTCCTTCTCTATATACAACAAGCTGAAAGTAATACGCGCTGTTTAATCTAAATTCTGTGTGGATTCTGAAACTAGGCAGAAAAAAGGGTTCCAGGTAAAGTTTCTCTTGCCATTGCTTTCATGGCAGATAAATTTTTCTCAGTATAATTCGATAGTTCTTTCATACATTTCACAAAAAGTTTGGTGGCGAAAGTTTTCATTGCTACATGTTTAACTTAAGTTGTTGGCCCTGCAATTTCGTCATCGTTGACAAACATAGAAAGGTCCATGTTCTTGCTATATGCAGCAAATGTAGACCAACTCCAGGCTGTCCAACTTAAGGCGAAGGTAGGTCAATCTATGGTCACCAGGCAGTATAACTCTTACTTAGAGCGACCCTTCCAAAACACAATTACGTATACAACAACAACAACAACAACAAAGTCTTAATTTACCAAGTGCTTTTAGCTGTATGAATCCTAGAACATCATTGCGCTTGGTTTTGCGCCATGTCTTCCGTTAACTCCAACTACTCCATGTTTTTTCTCAAAGTCTCTTTCCAAGTCTTCCTAGGTCTTCCTCCACCTTTTTTCTCCGAGCCCAAACCACAATTAAGTATACAGAAAGTAATCATGTGGTTGAGATGAATGCTAAGATTTCCGATTTTCGAATGGCCAAACTTTTCAGAAAAGATGAACTCAAAGCGAACATAAGGCGGATTGTTGACACATAGTAAGTGATAAACTGCCTCTCATCGGTTATTCACACATGACCTTATCCTTATCCTTGTTATATGCAATGCAGTAGCTAGGTACCTCCTGAATACGTACGAAAAGGCATATACGCTATGAAGTACAATGTCTACAGCTTCAGAGTTCAGCTTTTGCAAATGATTAGCAGACGAAGAATACATGTTACTATGTTCTGAATGAAAGTCTGCACCTATTGGAATATGTAAGTTCCATAAAATTTCCACGCTTCAAATTTCTATCACGAACTATTGCTTAGACGTGAACTATATGTTGAAATCACTGAAATTGTTCAGGCAGATTACACAAGTTTTAATCCCAGTTCCCACAGCATAAAAAGTATATATAGAAAATGTACCAAATCTTACGTTGTAAAAGGGACCAAACCTACCCTCTCCTTATCTTCACTTGAGAAGTTATTTGTAGCCGCTTTGAGACTGGAAAAGCGGCGTACTTTCAGATTTGGAGCATCACTGTCAACAGCTGATGTACTAGTAGACATTTGCCTAGAACAAGCATCCCTGAAACCAGGAGTAAAAAATTCAAATGCAAATCTGTTATCTGTTGGTGTCGACCGCTACAAGAGAATCTCTCTTCATTTAATTGCTATTAGAAAATAACCATCACAGTTGAGTATATAACCTTTTGTCTTCAATAATTCTTTCTGTTTCAATAATTCTCTCTGCGAGTAACACACCATGAAAGCGATGAGAATTACAATTACGATTGATGAAACTGGAAGCAAATTACAAACAATAACCGGGGTTTATTTTCGTGACTATTTCCTTCCTCCTGAGCTGTCAATCATGAATGAAGTTGGAAGTAAAACAATTTGATGCCTTCAAATAGCTTGCTGTCACAATTGAACTTTAGTGTGGGATAAGTAATGCCTACGTGCACAAGAAAGCGCCCAATTTTGATTGTCATTGCTGACTTGATGAAACACATTGGTACCGAGTAGCTTCTTCTCCTTGGCATATGCAATCTTAGCTCTAATAACTTCCACATCATCAAAACCAACCTAACTCGATCCTATCATACAGTACACAAGTAGCATTATACATCATGGGAGATAGCTTCGAGTGTACCCCTGGATGTACTTATAGCTCATGGATCCATCGTTTGTCACAGCAATGCCAGATGCAGGGTCTTGAGGTTTTTTGCAACTATCCATGCATAGCCGTGGTAAGGCAAACCCAAAACAAGTTTGCTAGCAGGAAACGAGTAGTTTAACCATTGCCTTATACCATAGTCGGTGTTAAGATAGCTGAAAGGGTCGTATAAAGCAGCATGAGCACCAGTAACATTCTCTTCGAAGGCAGATGATAGTCATATGCCTTAACATGCGCCCAGTCCAAATTCCTCTTCATAGATTCGTTTGGATAAATCAACGATTAAAATAGGAAAGCCATTGTCAATTTTAATCGTGATAGGCCAGTGTTTCTTGCCTCAGAAGTCACAGCAGCTCGCCACTCGTCCAATAGCTTTTCCATATTGATCATATCCAAGGCTGTGTTAAGCCAAGGCCAGAGCAAGTCTATACCTTGAAAGTAACATCTTGCTAATTCGATGGAAGACTCAATGAAAGACTTTCTATTCGAAGGAATTCCGAGCATTTTAGAGAGGGCTGAAAAGTGAGCTCTCTGACCCAAAATTAGCTGAGAAGCTGCTGCTTCTTTGTTCCATATGAATAGGAGTGCTTTGATTGATGGGTTTTTGCTCTTGACAATATCGGTGAAGCTCAAGAAGTATTGCTCATGAGCAGAAGGGATGGAGAGCCGGTAGGTGGACAAATTCGCATTCACAAAAGCACAAGTAAGATGTGTGAACAAGGCAGAGTTTATCTCCGGTATATGAGACTTGCTACCGGCGTACCAGTGACCAGCTCGAATCCAAGTTTGTGCAGAGCACGAAAAATTACAAGTAATAAGGAAGATGACCTTTTGAGAAATGTATGAAAGAACAATATCGAATTATATTGATAAAAGTTTATCTGCCATGAAAGCAATGGCTAGAGAATCTTTACCTGGAACCCTTTTTTCGGCCTAGTCCAGAATCCATACAGAGTTCAGATTAATCAGCACGTATTAATTTCACCTTGTTTTTTATAGAGAAGGAAAAAAAAGTTGTTACAAACTTGTCTACTACCACATTCTTCAGCCTAAGAACACAACTACCCCTAAATAAATAAAGTAATAGCTCGCATAAACACCTCTCTTCGAGCCTGCATTATCATCGGGGTTTCAGTTCGGAAATCTCAGCATCATTGACTGAACAGCTTCCTTTCTGTGATGTAGATACGCTTTCCATATTTCTATCAGTTTTTCCAGAGAAAGCTGTCGTTGTAGGAATTGGAATGGCCTCAGTGTCAGTTTTGAGTAGGGAATAGACTTCCAACATCGTAGGCCTATCGTCGGGATTTTCCTGGACACATAGTAGAGCTACTTGCAAGCACCTCAACAGTTTAAAAGAAGTAGAAGAATCGTCAAGTGAATGATCAATAAATTCCAGCCCTTTATCCTCTTTCCATGATGCATATGCCTGAAATAATTTTAATGCTGAAGTTCAGATCAAAATTGTAGTTGTTACAGTAGTCAAAGAAAGCTATGGAACTTACATATTCCAAGAGGTGCAAGCTTTTGTTCGGACCATAGTAACATGTATTCTTCCTTCCGCTAATCAGTTGCAAAAGTAGAACGCCAAAGCTATAGACATCGTACTTCATAGAGTATATGCCCTTTTTTACATATTCAGGAGGAACATAGCCGCTGCATTGCATTCAATAAGTACTAAAGGATATGATCATGCGTGAATAAGAATAACCGATGAGAGGCAGTTTACTTACTATGTTCCAACAATCCGGCTTGTGTTTCCTTCAAGTTCATCTTTTCCGAAAAGTTTGGCCATTCCAAAATCTGAAATTTTGGCATTCATCTCATTGTCAAGCAAAATGTTGCTAGCTTTTAGATCTCGGTGAATGATAGTAACATTTGAGTATTCTTGAAGATATAGGAGTCCCTGAGTAACCCCTTCAATGATGTGCACACGCTTTCTCCAGTCTAGGAGTTGCTTTCTGGTAGGATCTGCGAGATAACGAACTCAGGACCAATGAGGTATGCAAAGGAGCAAGAGAAAAAAAATTACGAACACAGATTTCACAACTTTAAATTAGATTGCAAAGTTTGTGTAATTCTAGCATGCATTCTCAACTTTAGCAGAAAGCATGAAAAATTGCTGACCGAAAAGGTAGAAGTCCAAGCTTCTGTTTGGCATGTACTCGTAGATCAGCATTTTTTCTTCCTTCTCACTGCAGAATCCAAGAACCCGAACTAAATTTACATGTTGTAGGTTCGCGGTAAGTGTAACCTCATTTCCAAATTCCTCAAGTCCTTGAGTTGACGTTTTCGAAAGTCTTTTCACAGCTATTTCCTGTCCTGTCCGCAGTTTACCCTAGAATTTTTTAAGAAAATATAGCTAACATGGTTGATGAAAAGAAACAGAGATCTATAACCGATCCAAAGATGAATTCAAAAGGTTGCAACACTCACTGTTCACCAGAGTTTGTACAACATGTAGATAATATACATAATCTTACCTTGTATACGGGACCAAACCCGCCCTCTCCAAGCTTATTTTCGCTTGAAAATTTATTTGTTGCCGCTTTGATCTCAGAAAAGCTGAACACTTGCGGATTTGAAGGATCTGATGCTCTTGAATTGCCTAGAATTATTCTCCCTGAAACCAGAAGGGAAAAGAAAAAGTGAAAACACAAACTCTGTTGACGTTATGGTACAAAAGATAAATTCTCGTCATCTACTTGTTAAACAAACCCTCAATATTGAGAAAAACAACCTCTTGTCATCAAGAGTTTTCTCTGCAAGTAACACACCACAAAGGCTGTAAGAATTACGATCGAAGTAACTGGAAGCAAAATTATAAGCAATAATCGCCGCTTGTTTTCATGACCATTTCCTTCCTCTTGAGCTGTGAATCGTTAAAACAGTTGGATCTATATTAGTCATTAGATAACAATTTGATGCCTGAAAAAAGCCTTCTGTCAAAAACATAGCATCGGTAAGTAACCTGTATCGGGGGATAAGTATTGCGTACCTGCCCGAGAAAGCGCCCAATTGTCATCGTCATTGGTGACTAGAAACACATTGGAACCGAGTAGTTTCTTCTCCTTGGCATATGCAATCTTAGCTCTGATAGCTTCCACATCATCGAAACCAACCCAACTCGATCCTATGATGCAGTAATTTACAACATAAGTAGCATTATACACTATGGGAGCTTGGTAGCTTCGTGTGTACCCCTTGATGTACTTATAGCTCATGGATCCATCTTTTGTCACAGCAGTGCCAGATGCAGGTGCCCCAATTCCATTATTTTCTTCGGGTTTTGCAAGTGTCCATGCATATCCGTGGTAAGGCAAACCCAAAACCAGTTTGCCGGCCGGAAATGAGTAGTTTAACCATTGCCTTATACCGTAGTCAGTGTTAACATGGCTCAAAGGATTGTATAAAGCCGCATGAGCACCGGTAACATTCTCCTTCGAAGGCAGATGATAGTCATACGCCACAACATGTGCCCAGTCCAAATTCCTCTTCATAGAATCAATAGGGTAACTCAATGATTCAAAAGCAGGCAAGTAACGAACGGCCATTGTCAGCAATAGCTGTGACTGACTTGAATTTCTCGACTCATAAGTCACAGCAGCTCGCCACTCGTCCAACAGCTTACCCATGTTATTCATATCGGAGGCTTCGCTAGGCCACAGCCAGAATAAGTCTATACCCCGAAATCCATAACGCCTTGCCATTTTGATGGAGGACTCAATGAAAGACCTTCTATTAGAAGGGTTTTCGAGCATTGAGGACAAGACAGAAAAGTTAGCGTTCTCGCCCAAAATCGCTCGCCCTGTTTCAGCCTGTCCATTCCAGATGGATAGGACTGTGATGGTGGACGGGTTCTTTCGCTTGACAATATCGGTGAAGCTCGAAAAGTATTGGACATGAGCAGAAGGGATGGAGAGCTGGTAGGTGGAGGCATTCACATCAGCAAAACCACAGATAAGATGAGTGAACAAGGCAGAATTTATCTCCGGTATAGGAGACTCGCTGCCGGCGTACCAGTAACCGGCTCTTATCCAACTTTGTGCAGAGGAACAAGAAACAAAGAAGATGAGGGGGATGATCAGATAGGGGAGATTTCTGAATTCCATGGAAATAGCTAATTCAGTTCTCACACATATCCTCATATCATATGTTTCTGAAAGGGATCAGATAGGAGATATTTCTTTACCAAAAAGAAAACATTAATGTCAATCTCAATGGTGAAATTTGTCTCCATATAATAAAAATATTGAGTTCCCAAATCCAACTTCCATACCATGTAGTATGAAATATTACCATGTTGAAAAGTCTTTGCATTTATTATAACGAAAACTAATGAAAAGAACTTGAAAATTTTAAGTTTTAACAATAAAGACAATATAAAAGATAAAGTGAATTGACACGCCCCAACCCTGATATTCCCCGAATACCAGAATAGACACGTGTTGGCCGACACCCGAGGGTGACGAAAGTCATTAATTGATACAAAAGCTAAGAATAAGAAGTAAATAAGGGTTATGAATTTAAATACAATGAATTAACAATTTAGGAACGTGTTCAGAACATACAACTAAATCTAATCACTAAAAAGAATTAAGATAAAATTGAATGAATAAAAGAGTGGGTCCTACATCGAGAGAATTCAAAGATGCTGCTGCGGAAGTGTCTTGACGCCGAGATTAGGTGTCTTGATCCTAAGTCCTGAATGGGGACGCAAAACAAAGGTGAGTGGACCAAGTTCATATATACAATAATAATAAAACAGTTATCAAGATACTAACCTCCACAGTTTATATATAATGAAAACTACTAGCATAAAAAGTGATAGGTTTTCTGAAACTCCAGCATGCCATAAAACATCTCAAAAGGTATAACGCGGAAAAACATCATATAAATCATCGCGTAAATCATCTCGTAGATCGTCTCGTAAGCGCGGTGTGCTGCTTGTAAGATCACCGAATAAATATAACTCCCGACCCAATGCCTGCTCCGTGGTCTCTGCGTCCGTAGCCAGAGATTACCAACTCCCGGCCCAATGCCTCCTCATGTCCCTCAGCCCGTAGCTAGGGATTATTTCTCCTGGCCTAAATGCCAACACCAAATCCTCGCCCCAGGTGGCATAGTGTCTACTAGGTACACACAAATAGTTACGTCTCTCATAAATAACCACTTCATAGTATAAATGTCGTCCATCGTCTATACTATAAAGAAGGGTTTCAAAAACATGTTCTAGCATCCTATCGTCATCTATCAGATAGTCTACCAGTTCATGGTTTTTATAGAAAATACTATATATTAAAATATAGCTCAATATAAGCCAACAATTTATTCCTCATCAAAAACACGAGACGAAAATCAATATATTTAATAAACATGCTTATCATAAATCAAATCATAAACTCGTAGGCATGCTAATCATTTATGCAATTAAACTATAAAATCATGTAATTTTAGAAGGGGTCCACAACAGTACTTAGTCGCTGAAAGCTGCACCACCAGCGAAGACAGAACGTCACAATAATTGTCCCTAAGTACAAAAATGTACAGTTAATTAAACTACCCACTATAGAATTTCAAGAAATGGAAATGGGTCTTGGGTTTGGATCCGGATTAGGGTTTAGGTTTAAATA